CTTTGCACTTTATATTTCAATATCACTGTCTATCTTCTATTTTCTCTTTCTTTCTCTCCCCACTCTATCTCTCTCTCTCTCTCTTTCCTTTCATCTCTCAATTTCTGTTTTGTATTGCACTATCGAACTATTTCTTTCTTATGTAATACAACGAAAATTCTAATATTTCTTTCTCTCTCTCTCCCTTCTCTTAAGTTCTTTATTTCTTTCTATGTTTATCTTTACACTTTATATTTCGATATCACTGTCTATCTCCTATTTTCTCTTTCTTTCTCTCCCCACTCTATCTCTCTCTTTTGTCTTGCTTAATCAAAATTTTACTCTCTTTCCTAATAAACTAATATTCTAATATTTATCTATCTTTCTTTTTCCTTTTAATCTCTTTATTTGTACTATGTTTATCCTTGCTCTTTATGTTTCACTATCTCTCTCTGCCTAATATTTCTCTCTCACTCTCTCTCTCTCCCTCCCTCCCTCTCACTTTCTTGGTAAAAAAATATGTATTAAAGGAAATAACAAGATGCCTTTAAGTCTTTACGGAAGTAAATCATTATTTCTACCTAGCTTTCGGTGAGCTTATTAACAACATCAGGGATATTAATGGTTTAATTATTACTTTAAACTTATCATTTGGTTGAGTTAGAAAATATTTTGGGCACCTGGTATTTTCTGAAACCAGGAAGAACCCAATTAGCTTATTTAATTTCAGTACATTATACTGCCTATAATTATAAAATAGGTGGATTATAATATTACGAACAAAATTGTGTGTTGTGGTTTGAGGTAGGATTAATAATTTTACGTTTGATTATTGATGATGGTATGAATTTTTTTATATTTAAGTTATTATTATTTTAATGTACGATTATTTATCCTTCAAAGAACATTAACTTCGTTGATCGACACCTGCACATACAAATGCTTATTTTGTTTTAAATAAATTAAAGAGGTACTTGTGAAGATTCGAGTAGGGTCGTACATTGATGTTTTGGTGTTGGATACCATTCGTTCATACATAATTTAAGTCAATTAAATAATTCATATTTACATATGCCTAATCTAACAAGCCTCAACGAGCCATTCGTTTTTCCCACCCCAGAAAACGCCTGAACACATATTTTGGGGAAAATCAAAATTATTTAATAAATTCGTACAAGTTTTTCTGAAATTCACAAAAATGGTAATAACGTCGAAACAACACCACGGATCCCCATGAAACTTTGTAGAGCTTCAGAATCTTATGAACTACAAGTAAAATAATACTAACGTCGTGTCCGTAAATAAAGCAGGATGGCAGATAATTTTTTGAGGGGCTTTTATTGATTTCAATTTCATTATAATGACAGAAAATTTTAACCTTGGTGTAGGCTGAAAAAGAAGACATTCCGCTTTTCAACTGTTAGGTAATAAGTAATAACATTGAATATCAATAAAATCCAGAAATATTATACATTTTTAAGTGGAAATTGGGGAGAAAACCAATTTTTTAGTTTTGTTTCTGCAAAAACAATTCGTATGTTTTGAAGGGGCACAAAAGTAAACGAATTGTTTTTGATTTTTCAACAAAAATATTTTTGCCCTATTGCAGTGGAAGCGTTTTTCGTTTCTGTAACATTTTATATATTTATTCAAATTTAATCTTGCATATTGTTATTATCGTAGATAAAAAATTATATATGATATATAATAACTTTGAAATACATGCACAACAAAGGCAGGAAAACCTATGTTTAAAACGGCTTAAATTACTTTAAAAAACATTTCTCGACTCGTCCCGCCCATTGACAAGTCCGCTGTGACTATGCCTCATATTTTTCGAATATTATCACCAAAACTTTTTAAGTAAAATAAGTTTGGTTGTGGAACATTGAAGGAAATCTCAAAGCTGATCCTGTGGTAAGCAAGCTCAAAGAGATAAAGAATACTGCCATAACGACAAATTAGCTTTTCGAATTCAAGGTTTGAAGTTAAACATAACACGCTGCCGAATTTTTAAAATGAACCACAATAGTGACCATAAGAACGATCAACCAGGATACCACTTAGCATATCAATTAATATTAAAAGTTAATCTTAAACATTTATATCATGAATGCTAATTGAAAACAACACAAAATAATTTTTCAAGCCAGTCGCCAAACTCCATTATGTTCATAAAATTGCCGGATGCACTGTTGTCTTTGTTACATAATTTTGTTGCCAGACTTTTCTTTAACTTTGCATGCAGATTTCTTTTGTTATGAGGAAGAGGAACAATGATCAATGGTTAGTAATTGTTGCCCGTTTGTCTTCGACCTCGTCGCTGATGGCGTGCCGCATTAAGAATTACGGGACAGTCTTTTTCTTACCCTGGACGATGTTTGGACTGGATTTTTTTCTTTTAAGACAGAGAGAAGGCTCGACTAGAGGAAGCGAATCTTGAAACAAAAATGGGGGAATTTTATATTTAATTTTTATTTAATTAAAATAAATAAATATATAAAATTTGGGGTGGTTTATTGTAAGTCTATTTTTAAGGCATCTACGAAAACCAAACATTTGTTTAATAATTTTTTGAGTTTATTTTTGAGTCAATACTTACAACATACTATACCGTGGTAACTTCCCAAAGGATTTACTATCAACATCTTATAGAAATATCCAACTAACTTGTTTTCCTAATTCAATTAATATATTTAATAAATAATCTATAGTATTTTATTATTAGCACATAGCGTTATGTTTTCTTTTTAAAATGGTTACATTTGAAATAAAAATGGAATTGTAATTTGGTCGTTTCTGGCCATGTTGATTGGCCAATCATAGCTGTTTTGGTTTGCAGACGCGTGTTACTTCTCCCCATCTTCAGTGGAGGGTTTCTAACACCGACTGATATAGATAGTCAGAGCCGATAGTATGTATTACTAACTAATTTCACGTAGAAAAGAAATAATTTTACCGCAACAAATATGAATGAAATTTTCTTTGTTGTAGATATAAAAGAGAATGTGCTTTCTGCTCCTCAGGCATGATATTTTTATACAAAGTAAGGAAATATCTTCATGAACGCGCAAGTACGTCTCAGTTGCTTATAATGCTGAGCCAGACCCCGCTATTTGCTGATCTCAACGTGATACGAGCAATCGATTTTTGGATGCCTGCTGGGATTACTCATGCAGAGGTTATCGCTACAGTCATCGGTACCCGTTTTGACCTTCATTATATAATAAGTGGGGAGGTGGGCCGAACACTCAGAACAGCTCAAAACTGACCTAAAAATCAAGGTTATGACGACCGGGTGTTTTCTGAACTGTGAGAAAGTTCGAGGTTTCGTATGTCGTCGCCTCGGGTTCGAAGAATTTTCACGCTAGTAAGTTTCACATGTGAACGTTACAATAAAAGTGTGTGCAAATCTCCATCTTCGCAACTTACGAAATTAGTACGAATGTGAAATTGTAAAAAGAGAACTGCTTAATGTTTGAAAAATGCGTTTGCGTTTGTATGTACACAGAATGTTTTCGGGTTTGTTTGTATTCATGTCATGGCTGTGGCCCAAAGCCAAAAATCAGTTCACACATAATAAAAAGAAGAAGAATATATAAGTTGTTGTCATCAACTTAATAATACAACATGCCTGTTTTAGTTTCCTTAGCTCAGAAAAACAATTACATTACTAAGATAAATTTTGGGTTCTATTTCTAATATAAGAATTTGAATTACCAAAATAAAAATACTGTTTGGTAGATAAATTTGTACTCCTCCACCCATAAAAGAAATATCCCTTGAATTTTTAAAGGAGATGTGAACATGGAGTATCTTTTACAAATTTATATTTAAATCTTAGGTCTTACAATACAATTAAAAATAGGATTAATGAATACATAATTGGTTAAAATCTACAAAAAAGTTTTTGGAAATATTTCGTTTAACATCTGGAGCCTGTTGTTCATTGAAGTCGAATTTCACACTCCAATGTTTTTCTTATATTTTAACTGTTCATTTTACCAAAATAAAGTAAGTTACCTAATCTATGGTGCTTACTCATCCTGAATTTGTAGCTTATTATTATAAAACATAGCTATGTGGGCCGCTAAATGGTTTAATTTCTACGTTGTACAATACTTTTTTAACATAAAGTATCCTTCCTTCCTAACCGTTTTTCAAGAGATATAGTTTTTCTCTTATCCAATTGTGCTTTGAAATGTGTGGTGATTAGTGACCGTTAATCGATATTTATTTAGAAATCGTGAGATGCGGTCTGGTGTGATGTAGGTTTCAGAAAAACATTTTCTTTATCGTGCCAACGTTTCGATCTTTATTGAGATCATCTTCAGGGCTCAAAGTGTTTGTCTTCTGTGTAATTGTGCCATTCTTGCGTGTCGTGTTGAGAGTACTTTGAAAGTTCTATTCCTGTTTTGTTTTTTGAAATTAGCATTTCTTTTAAGTACTGCGACATGTCTGGAGGAAATGTAGAGTTCGTTAAGTTGAATCCCATATCATTTGAAAGGGCAAGGTTTAGGTAACAGATCTTTTCGTCAGTTCATATAGCGCCACTAAATATGAATTATGCTTGTAAACACCAAACATTCTTTAAAAAAAATCCCATTTCACCAATTTAAATAAACAAAATTGTCAGAGGCGCATTCCAATCGCTCCCATGATCCACCGGGTTCTCTAACGATAGCGTTGTAAGAAAACAAAAACAAAAGGCCATTCCGAGTTTGGTGCTCCATGAAAGTACTTGGTACCATCCGGTCAGTGAATTCCCTTTTTTCTGTGAAAAGAAATCATTTCCTTGTCCATCTTCTGAGAGTGCGCCCGCTCCTTTCATTAAAAAAATAGATAAATTTTTGTTGGATAAAATTATTAAAATAGGTTATAAAAAAACTTTATATATTTTTTTATGCTAAGAGAAACAATTATGTTCATTTTTCCGGTGGTTTCATTCTTTTCATTTTAGTTCAGAGCAGTTTCTTATTTTATTTTTTATAATAAAAGTAATTTTTTTATGTTCCAAATTTTTTATTTATTTCTTTTCTTCATTAAATTTTAATTTGTGGGCATACTTGAAGCACAAGCCATTTTAGAACTCTCAAATTACTTTATATGATCAAAGTTTCTTACATTGAGTAATTCACTACTCGTATGTAAAAATTAGTCAGGTGATCTAAACCTCCAATGCAACAAAAACGTACGAGCCGTGTTCCGAGCTTTTTTTTCCTCTAAACTATCATGTGTTAGCCATAAATCTGCACGTAGACTATTCATTTTTGGTAAAATGCCAAAAAGTATTAAAAAGAGCGTTAAATTTAGGCACCCTTCTAGAACTTTCAATTCAATTTTTGGTAAAAGACACACTAAATCTTTCAAAAACCGCTAAATTAAAAAAAATGAGAGAGAAAGAGAGGGAGAGAGAATGAGTGAGAGAGTTTGATGGGGAGAGGGAGGGATGGAGGGAGGGAGTGTTGTTTACGTTTATAAATCAAGCGTTAATTACTATCGGTTTGAAACAAATGTTAACATTTGCATACTTCAATATGATTGTGTTTGTGTTATACATTAATTTCATGTTTTGTTCGCGCTGTAACAAACAATGTCAAAAACAGCTCTCGATTTAGAATTTTTAACCGATATAATTTGTTTGTTCTCATTGTTTTGTTTCAACTTCTTTTACGAAGCTTATGCAACTGTAACAGAAACAGGGTTTCATTGCGAAGATTTGTCAATTAGGTATCCATACCTACAAATAGATAAAAAAGAATCCTTCCAACTGGTAGAGGTGTACTTTTTACCACTTTTAATGGCATGGACTTGCGAAGCGGTGATTTTCCCTTGGAAAGACCCGAAAGTCAGAAAGATGAAATTCTTTTTTTTACTTTACGATTCGTTTGTCGCGTTTACGTTCGGCTATTTGCTCAGTACAGCTTCGGCGGTCTTCTTGCAAAAATCGACAGGTGTGCTTAAACCTTATTTCCTATCTGTCTGTAAACCGAACATCGACTGCTCAAACCCTGACAACCAAAACAGGTACATCACGAACTACACATGCACCTCAAATGACAGTATGAAAGTGTCTAACGCTCGGCTCTCTTTCCCTTCTTCTTATTGCTTGCAGGTCATCTTATCAACATTTCTGCTTGTGCTGGTTCTAGAAACGAAGTTGCACGTCGATGCAGTGAATTTGGTCAAACGTTTAATTCAGTCGTTTATTTTGTTTTACGGCCATATTCAATGCGCGTTGAGGTTCAGGGAAAACGAGAGCCATTGGAGCGACATTCTCGTAGGTTACATCATGGGAGTCGGATTTGCATACTTCAACGTTGGTAGGTTCAAGGCAGTAGAAAAGAAAAGTTCGCCCGTTCAGGAACACAATTTGGTTGAACAAATCCCATCTTCGCAAATTATTTCGGCAGAAAGTCAACCGACGATCTGAAAATAAATGAATGTTAACATAAGGTGACTTTTAATATTGCAGTGTAATAAGTTATCAACTAATCGATTTTATTTACCATGTTTTTCGGTAGATGTACTAAAAGGATTGCCCATATGACACTGCTCTAGCAAACGTCATTGCGGTAGACAAATTTGATTTAAATTTTGTAGTTTTTCGATTTTTTAATAATATTTAGAACACCGTTCAGTTGGGTTAAACACATGTTAACCGTTCATGATTTGTTTTATTCCAAGAGACATTTTTATTCATTTGTTTGAATCGAATAGTATAACAATGCCTGACGTACGGTTTGACTTGGAGTATGTTATAGATTTTTTGTGTTTATTTTTCTTGTGTACATTCATTTTCTACTATAGGCATCATGTGCCACCGACAGAAAGGGGATTTTACTGCCAAGATTTATCAATAAGATATCCGTACAAGGAGAACTTTTTCAAAGGGGTGGACATGACTGTATGGATCTTTATTTTGCCCGTTTTACTCATTTGGGTTTGTGAAACGGCTTTGTTTCAGTGGAACGACCCGACGAAGAAAAAGTTAAAATTCTTCTTTCTCCTTTACAGGCAGTTTATCGGACTGACGTTCGGCCATTTAATATCCGTTTCGATAACACTTTTCTTGATGAGGACTGTAGGAATGCTGAGTCCTTACTTCATAGAAATATGCAAACCGAACGTCAACTGCACACAACCGGAAAACAAATATAAATTTATCATGGAATACGTCTGCACTCGTAACGACAAGGAGCTTTTGTACGGCGCACGGTCTTCTTTTCCTAGTTTCGGTTGCCTTCAGGCTGTCAGGGCGGCGGTTCAGCTCATCCTGTACATCGAGGCTAAGATCACTTTCGAATATATAAATTTACTGAAGCGTTTGATACAATCGTTCATTTTCTTACTCGCCAACATGCTGTGCGCCATCATAATCAGAGATAATAGTAGTCACTGGTACGACGTATTAGCCGGATACATACTCGGTATCTTATTTGGATATTTCGCCGCCTTCTATCTAATGGGATGGTTTGATTCAGAAGAAAAATATTCTCGATCGTCTGACTCGCTGAAATCAGATTTGCAAATTCCATCTTCTACAACCGTTGCAACTAAAATCGATTGACTTATTTCGCTTCTTAAAATCATTAAAACGCTTGATATGTCTGCGATGTCTTACTTTGTTTTATAAGTTTGGTATACATAAGTCGCGAAGCTTGATATTTGTCCTCATTTTCATTGTTATGCTTCCAGTAATTGTGAAATCTGCTACAATGTGTATACAATTTTGAAGATCTATTTTCCTTTCAAGCTTTTAAGAGAATTGTGAAACGTGAAAATTCCGTAAACGACTATTCTCGCATACCGCACACCGCAAGAATCAGCTGCTTTAGAGCGGATCAGTTTTAAAAGATTACCAATTTTAATTTTCTTTAAATCTATTTTTTATTCAATGTATATTACAACTACCCTATATTGGGTAATAAGTAATAATTTTAAAGCACATTGATAACAGAAAAGTATGGAAAACTTAGAGTGAAGAAACTACCCACTAATAGCACTTTCTAAGTAGTCAAGTGAAGTATCTCTTCCAACAATGTCACGTTCAGTATGAAGTCTAAATAAAGCTGATTTTCTACCACTTGGACAAATTAACTCGATAATGGGAGTTAAATGGCTAAAGGCTTATGTTGGAACGGTAGAGAATGAGGAAGAGGATAGGAAAGCAAAGGGAAGCATGAAGCAAAGCAGGATGACTGTTGCCTTTTTCCCCCAACGTCAGTAACCCTGCCATTTAGTCGTTTATTTTACCACGTATTCTGCTATTTGGAGAATGAGAGTTAATATATCTTTAAACACGTAATACTATTTGTTGCCAGAATAACGAAGATACATAAATTGTATTTTAATTGAAAATTTACAGGTTGGTTCCGGGGAGCCTAATTTTTTACCTTTATTCCCGAACATAACAGTTATATAATAATACATCATAGTTTATGAGTAAGAAAATAAGTAAATAAAAAAAGATAAAAAAAAAACAACAACAAAAACATGACATTTCGTAATGTCTTTACAAAATATATAATATTTATAATTAAATTCACAAATTTCGTGGTCCGCTTGACCAATTAATATATTACAATTAATTAAGGTTTTTTTTAAGTTGAGATAAAAAAGTCAATGGCACGAGCGGGATTCGAACCCACGATCTTCGGCTTGATACGCCGCTGCTCTACCACTTGAGCAATCGTGACCTCGATCCACTCGGNTCAAGTGGTAGAGCAGCGGCGTATCAAGCCGAAGATCGTGGGTTCGAATCCCGCTCGTGCCATTGACTTTTTTATCTCAACTAAAAAAACAAAAAAAAAACAACAACCGTAATTAATAATTGTAATATTTATAATAATATATGAACAGTAATAATAATTATTTGGAGATCGTGAGATGCGGTCTGGTGTGGCGTTGGTTTAGAAAAACATTTTCTTTGTAGTGCCAACGCTTCGATCTTTATTGAGTTCATCTTCAGGGCTGAAAGTGTTTGTTTTCTGGGTAGATGTGTCATTATTGTGTGTCGTGCGAGAATGGGACACAGAAAACAAACACTTTGAGTGAGTACAAATACTTTGATTGAATCAAAAATTTCTAGCATTGTATAAATTCATTTTTTCACATCCTACATGTAGTTGTAAAATTTAAACAATGTTTATAAATCCTAGGCCCTGAAGATGACCTCAATAAAGATTGAAACGTTGGCACGATAAAAAAAAGTTTTTCTAAACCTATGTCACACCGGGCCGCATCTCACGATCTTCAAATAATCATTAACTAACGGTCACTAAACACCACATAGTAATAATATTGAAGAATACAAACAATCAAAATGTATAAGCTGGGCTGAACAAAAATTTTTTACAAACAAACATTTACAAATAATTAGATAAATAATTATAAACATTGACACATGTGAAAGCATTTGATTCATAGCAATAATTCAAATGTACCTTCATTATATCGTTTCAAACAAATCAATAAATACAACTAGAATTAGTCTATAAATAACAACTACGATAAATTCAGAGAATATACATTTATATTTTCCCAGATGATACTGCTATCCTATCCTCCAAAAACGATCACGTCCTCTCATATCATGAGGATGATATCACCCTTCAGACTCCCATTGTCAACCTGAAAAGTGGCGTGTAAAAAGATAAACTACTAAAAAATGAATAGGGATATTTGTAATTTATTCTTATTCTATCAATTTTAATTAAATTGACCGATATATTCTTGTTAGTTGGATAAAACATAATAGAAAATACAAACCAAAAACAAACAAATGTTAATCCTCATTTTTAATAATGGATTTATTTAAGAATAGTAAACATGAAGATTAATCATTTTGTAAACAAACACCTTTTCTCTTCTTTACTCCATTTTAATCCAGTTGTATTCATTTTAACCATGGAAAGATATCATCTTGAACCAGAAGTTCGGAATATTATTGTAAGAATGAGTCATCGAGGTAATCAACATGTGAATATCGCAGAGGCATCCGGCGTTTCTAAGAGCGTGATCTCCAGGGCTTTAGCTCGATTACAAGAAACTAGAAATGCCAATAGCAGGCCTGGTAGTGGATCTTAGCGCATTACGACGCTAAGAAAGATCAGAAATACTGTCACTGCTATAAGACGAAATCCTTTCCATAGTTCCTGCCAGATCCTAAATAAAGTACAAGATGTTTAGGCATGACCTTTGTCAACACAAACGATTCGTAATCATTTGTGGGGAGTTGTCCTCATATCGTATGCCCCTTTGAGACGACCTGCAGCAACAGCCTGACACCAGCTACTTAGGAGAATATGGCGAGTGCCTAGAAGAGAACGCCAGTTGGAATGCGGTTATATTTACTGATAAGTCGCGTTTCTGTCTGTATAGTGATAGCAGGCGCGGAAGAGTACCGTGAACAGGGGATGCGTAAAATGCCCCAGTTCGTGCTCCCTTCAGTGCAGTTTGGACGAGGCGGTGTCTTAGCTGGGATTTACACTCGAGGACAAACTGGACTCCATATTGTTGAAGGCAATCTCACCGCAGTCCATTATGTCCAAGAAATTATCGAGGAATACATAACTCAAATTTGAGATGTCATTGGCAGGGATTTTCGATTTCTGGATGACAATGCCAGGCCTCACAGAGAAAGAGTTGTTCATCAATGTTTAGAAAACCTGGGAATTTCCCATCTGCCCCTTTCCCCGTTGTTACCTCAAACCCACTGAGCACACGTAGGATGTGTAGCAGAAAAGGCATTTCGATCACCATCCGCAGCCAGTTGAACTGCAACAACTGAGTTTAGCGTTGCAACATCTATGGAGTGAAATTCCATAGGAAATTAGTGACAGTTGTATTAACAGTATGCCTAACAGGTGCACAAAGGCTTTAGTTAACAGAGGACATTATACACGGTATTAATTGTGTCCACTAAACAAAATTACGGAATTAAAACTTTTTATTTAGTTAGTTTTCAAAATCCCATCATTAAATTTTCCTTCAGTAAAAGACATAATAATTTCTAATAAATTTTAATGCAATTGATAATAAAAATAAAATAGAAATGCTAGGGAAAGCAAATGCTATAAAATTGGCAAATCCCTAGTCTTTTAGATCGATGTACAGAAAAGCCAACACATAACCTTTATCCTCCGATATGGAGTAATGCCACAACTAAATCCCATATACCTATTGTTGATCACGACACTACCTTGGGCTATATTGACAAAAAGTTAACATGAAATCCACATACTAAACAAGAAATTTAATTCTTTTATAGAAACTACCTTTATAAGTAATGTAGATTTCACATTTTGCTACGTTTGAAGGGTACTTTGTGACACTAGGCTGAATGATATTTTAACACCAAAATTTGCATTTTGAATATTAACAGTAAGTCAGAAGCACAAAACTTTTGTCGCCAATACATGTCGCGTTCGCGTGTTTTCCGACGGCCGCCCGAAAGCGATTGTGACTCATTTGTGTTGCGGTTGTGAAAAAACGAATATCATTCACACGTTTTGTTTCCCGTGACCGTTTCGCAACCCATCTTGATTTCTCTCTGTCTAGTTTTATTTTATTTTTTGGTAAATATATAGCCCGATTTTTGTTTGACAAGCCTATTGACCCTCAAGTTGCGCAATGGGAACACACCTTTTCGTCTTCCCGGCCTGCTTTGAGGTCAATGCCAAAGTCGACCCCATTAACTAACACTAGGAAGTACTGCCTCGATCAAGAGCGAGTGGGCGTTATTCATGGGTACATTGTGTCAGTCATGTCCTGTTATTAAAATTAACATACATCCTCGCATAGAGACAAGACGCATAGAGAGATGCAAAGTCCTGTTGCAATTTATATTTTATAATTTTATTGAAAAACGAGCGGGCATGTTGCGGCTCTACAGCTGGAAATTGATTCCTTTGTAATAAATGTATCACAACACTACTGTAAACATAGACACGATAGGAATATGGTAGTACTAATTCATAAAACTGTGGATATTGAAATCAATATACTTTAGAAATTTAATAATTATTTATTAATTATATATTTGAAGAAATGAAATAAATATGGATGTTTCTCTATTACAAGTTGTACAGTTTTAAACAATCATTCTTTTAAATATATAATTTGGGTTGATCACCTCGTTATTAACAAATAATGCATTGCACGTAGAATATGTAAAACATACAATTCATTGGGTGGTTGATGGTACATGAGTAGTGTGTAACACAATGTTTATAGTGTGAGGTGCATCTAAAGTACCGAGGAAGAAAATTAATGCTTCCAGTTTAACTTTTAAAGTTCAAAAAATGTTTGTAAAAATATTAAATCCATTTCATTTTGTAAAACTGTATTCATAGCTTTGTACAACATACTTAGGCACATCATGAGCAAGATAAAATTTAAAAAAATTACTAAAGTAAAAATCTAAAATTTGTTGTCAATATTAAATGAGGTATAACTATTAGAATATAGAAAATCAATAGAAATATCACTGTGATATATCACAAAACAAAAAAGGAATAAATTTCTTGTAAGAACAAAACCCCAATGGAGCATTTCTATGCTACCTGTTGGATTTAGTCCCAACTAAACACTAACCACCACTTCCTGCTTTGTAGATTGCGCATCGAGCTTGATTGCTGCTTACGAAATGAAATTGTTTTTCTCCATGTAGATTTACAGTGACTCACATATTTGTTCACATCAGTAAACAATTTTCTGTTATCTCTAGTTTGCAAATCCCGTATTTTTTAATCGAGACAACAGCAATAGGATTGAGTTCGTTGAATTGTTGGTAAACAAACATTCACCCTAATAATCTTTATTTATGTTTATACCTTTGAATTGAGCCAGTTTATTACGAGTCTTCATGTGAACAGTTTTGTGACTCGGGTTACTTCATTGCAAATTTCGCAAAAACCATTCAATAATTCGTCTCAAATTTGTTATCAGGTATCATCAATTTAGTTATTTTTCTTACATATTGAAAATATTTCCTTTCCTTAATGCTTATGATATATTACGATTAATTACAAAATGAAGCCATTTTCAACATTTTTGAAAGATCAAATAATAAAATTTCTGCAAGGAGAACTTCCTTCTCGTGAAATTTCAAAAAATATAAATTGTTATTATAGAGGTAATAACAAAACCTGAACGTTCTTCCAGAATTTACGACAGTTGTTTTAAAAAGAAGAGGAGTGGTCATAAAACAAAATTTTCCGAGGCCAAAAGGCGTTGTATCTACGCGCTCCGTTCGATCAGGACAGGTTGACAATGTTGTCCAAATTCAGCATAGGCCGCGTGATAATGATAAAATGGATGTCCGTGCTGAAACAAACGGAGATGTTTTCGTGAGGCCGGATTAAGAGCGACGGGAAAAGTGAAGAAACCATTGCTGACCAAAGAGTGGCTTGCTGATCGTTGTTTTAATGTCATGGAATGGCTCCCACAGTCACTTAACCTTAATCCAATTGAGCACTTGTGGGGAAAACTAAAAAATCTTTAGCCGATGCTGCAGAAGACGCTTCAAACTTCGATGAACTTTGGGAAAAAACACAAGTTGAATAGGACCTAATTGATCCAGAACAGTACAGAAATCTCGTGAGAAGTATGGCCAGAAGGACTGATGCAGTTTTGAAAGCCAAAGAAGGACATACAAAATATTAAAGGACTTTCTATGACACAATCATATTATCGTTCGCACACGGTAATTTCTTTTCCATTATTTTAATAATCATGATAAAGGAACAATTCAATTTTTTGGGTGTTTTTTTGTGTTAAGATAAATACAAGTATTAAAAAAACTACGTTTATTTGATGTCCTACAATTGTTTAGTAAAGTAAATAATGATATAACACAATTTGCATTCAGCTGTGAACGAATCTGTGAGTCACTGTATATGCATAAAACTGTTTCACCATATTGGTGATTGGTCCTTGATGTATTGGTCGATCAAGTTTAAAAAGTCTAAGATAATCTTTAAACTATAGGACTTGAATAAAGCCCCAGCGTAAATTCTAGTTTTTTTTTGTAACTGGGAAGATGGCAGTGTCTTCGATTCTGTACACGGAACGATCTAAATCCTGCAATGGTGTTGATGCGGCAGTCCTGGATGTTTGGTCCGGTTACAGATACCATATGCTCTGTCAGAAGCTGTCGCTATTAGAGAAGGGCTCAAATTCAATGCTTACCAAGCCTCGTCGCAATTGTAATTTCAGACAAACTCAGTGTATCAATGGTTTTTCAGAGCCCTAAAAACCCTACTGTTGTCGAAATAAATCAACAGCCTAATTTTCCGTTCACCCCCACATATACCTAATGTAGGTTAAACCATATGATTTGAATATTCAAAATAAGGAGGTGTTGGCCAAACAAACAACAGAGCAAGCCACACATGAAATTCACAAGACATTCGTGACGGTAACCAAGCTCTCATAAGATGAAGAAAGGCAAAATGAGTACGACCGTGCAAAATATTCGTTAGATAAATGTTACGGTAGTACGTGCTTCCATCCAACCTACCATGGTTTACCAAGACCCAATGATTCAGAAAGTTCTTTGCTACAATATGTAGACATCGGTTTAACCATAATCGGCTCTTCCGTCACCTATTTAAGATGGGATTGAGGAATGGTGAGTGTTCCGATGGTGTCAGTAGAGGTCAGACCACGTTATACTGGCATTAGTCTCTCTTCTTTGGGCAGAAAAAAAACAAAAAACAACATCGGACGTATTTTGTTATTTCTTTAAAAATATATGTATTTTTGTGGTTAAATTAATTACAACATACTTATTTTCATGTAAACCAAATTAAACGAGATCAGAAATTCATAAGTTTTAATAATATTGCAGTCATTGCGGCGAATGTCCATTTTTAGTTAAATTTATCATAAGACGGTGTTAAATTGTTAGTGAGGCATTGTTGGTAGCAATAGTGTTGTATAATTTGAGCTTGTTAATTTTATGTACATACCTTTTATGTAATAAAACGAAACTGGCTGGTTAGAGTTGATGTGTGTGTTGATCTGTGAGTCCGTAAACTCACAGGATACTAGGTCACATTTCAGGTCCTTCTTCACTCGCAGGTTGTTGAACTACATAAGCGGTTTTGGCGTTGCGCCATCTTCTTAAAATTAAAGAAGTTATAAAGAGAACTGTCAGGAAATTTCAACTCCTGCTCTATGGTTTCTTTTAGGCGAGTGCGGTTCATAAATCGCAACTAGCCTTATTATCGAGACGTTTACTCACTCTTGGAGGTTTTCGGACTCTTGGAGAAATCCGCACAATGTCACATACTGGGCCTGTCTTCACTCCGGGTTTGTTGAGTTGTTCAGTTGGGTTTCGACATTGCGCCATCTTCAGTGAGGAACTCTCTGTCACTTTGTCCAAGTAGAGTTTATGTATTGGGTCAGTCGCTTGTCACTATGGGGGCGTGGTCAAGGTGTTCATTGGACAGTCGTGATGACGGTTAGTTCCTTTGCTGGTTATTTTTTGTGCGTTGTTAATTTTTCTGGTGATAGTTTCGATGTTGTAACCTTCTGAATGTTTGAGTTTTTTTGTTATGTGTGTTTTTAATTGTATGAATGTGGGTTTGTTTGCACATTTATAAGCTTTCCGTCTCTAAGCGATATTTGTTTAGATTTCTCAAGAGTTTCCAGTACGTTGAGTTTTCATCCTTCTGTGCGTTGTGTATTAAAGTAATGCCGGTTTCTATTGAGTTTGGTTCGTGGTTGTGTTGTGTTAAGTGGCGTAATTCGATTCCCGTCGTGTTCTCTCAAGGATCTAAGGCGTTCTTTGAATCGGTCTCTTTCTGAATTTCCTTCCAATCTGTTCAATGTATGAGTCTCCGCATTAACATGGGATTCTGTAAACACCGTTATTGTCTAGCGGATCAGTTTTGGCTATGTTTCTTTTTTAGCAGTTTACCCGTGTTGTTTTTGGCCCTTAGTATTGTTTTTAGTCCGAGTTTGATGAACAAGTGAAACAAAATTAGTAATGTATCTTACCTTCGGCTATATCAAAGTGTCTAACAAGGTAAATAATAGTAAATTTTTAATTCTTATAACAATTTTTTAATATAAAAGGAAAAAAAACAATTACTTGATTGTTCGAGTTTCTTTTATTTACACCAAGAAATAGTTTACAAAATAGTACATTTATTATATAAGTTTTGAAAGACAATATTCAGCATAAAAGGCTTATCATCATTTTACTTACAACGGCAAAAATTCCACTCACTTACATGATACCACAATGTAATATTCACATCTAAATATTGATATACGTTTCTTTTTTTTAAATTATGGAATATAAAAGATATGTTTTTGAAAGCTTAATTCTGCAATCAATACTGTCTTCTGTATATTTATTTTGTACATTTTTTTAACATTAATGAGAGTCCACCAAAATGAAATTACGTATGCAATGAGCAGTCATTGATAAATTAGTCATAAATGCACTGTCAGTACCTTGTACGGAATTTTGTGAGTTCGATATTAAACATGGCACAGTTTAGCTCAATTTTCCACCGTTTCTACCTTTCCTTCCAGATGATCAGGCGAATCAACGGTATTCATAATTATAAATGATATGGATGCCATCAATACAAGCTGATGAAAAAAAATGGATTTGATAAATATAGGTAACAACTTTTGGTCGCGAATTTTTTGCCAAGTTACAAAATATTTCAAGTTAAATTTTAAATAATGAGGTTAGAATTAATACAACACTTTTCCCTATCGGTCAAAATGTTTTCTGAACGCACCAAAGAAACGAATTCTTTAATAAGAAAGAAAGACTGGATTTCATATTTAGATTTAGAATTGATTCTTTATAATGAAAAACAAAAATCGTACAAAAAATTCCGATTTATGAGTTTCATTAGTCTTCTGATCAGCATTTTCTCGCTATTTGTTGCTTTTACTTACGGGGTATGTCTCGTTATCAGGCGAACGGTTTAAATGCAAAAATCAGAAAATTATAATATATTATTAAAACATAAAATATAAACCAAAACGCACAAGCTACATAGCTCAATTCTCCCCATGTCAGGTCAAATCCGCCAATATATTAATGTATACAAAAAATTGATCAAAACTCAATTTTTGGAATTTGGTATATACACTTATTATACACGTATACACACTCGAACATTTTCTATGAAGCGGCATAAATATTGAGCAATAAGTTTCTCTTAGATAATTTCCTGTTCATTTACAATTATGTTTATTATTATTATTATTATTATTCAACAAGCACAAGTTATATCACATAGTTTTTTCACTGATGTGCTTTACTCAAAACTGAAATTTAAAACGAAACAACAAAATATGAGAAAATTCAGATCAGAGATGGTGACTGATATACGAACAAGAATCTTTTCACTCGTGTTATGAAAAACACCCTGTTTTTGTCTCGAATCTTTGATTTTACAATGGAAGCGCTTAAATTAAGCGTTTTAAATTCCATTTAACGATAGATCTTACTAACTCTTACCATAGTGAACAATAGGCTGGTTTGGCTGATTTGGCTGGATGGCGGGTTGTCCCTGCTGGAGGGACAGGAGCAAACCTCACGTTTTGACGAACTTGTATACGACGCCGAAGACCATGACTGAGACGAGCATGAGAACGAGTGCGGTGACGATCTTGGCGAAGGCGTTGAGCCCGGTCTCTCCGGATTCCGCCGGTGCCGATCTCGCGTAGAATGACCGTCTTCTTTTGCCGGCGAGACCACGCGCCAAGCCGGGAAACGCCAGGGACTGGGTAAAAGTCAGCTTGTGGATGGATTCCGAAAGCGAGTACGGGCCCACTGAACCCCTTGCTGCTGCTCGTAGAAGGGCATATTCCAAATCCAGAGCGTCCAACAGAGAATACCTGAACAATCAACGTCCGTCAGTTGGAAGAAATTTTAGGATGGGAAGAATTACCTGGCGGTCATCGTGGAACTGCGCCTTCTGTCTCTTTCCCAGTTGTCCCTCGATACTGCGGAAACGGCAGCTGCTGCGGCGGCGACTGAAGTGAGGGACGATGCCGTAGAAGAGGATGCGGACGCGGGCCCAACGTCGGGTTCGTCGACCGACGTGCTCTGCTCGGGCGATGAAGGCCTCCGCAGAAGGCGGGCGTGATTAGGATGGAGCAGCGCAGAAGGCGAGGTTACCGTCAGGCCAGGTGAAGTGGTAACGCCGCATGGGCTCGCCTAAATCACAGCTAGTTACTGACGGATAATTAAGAAAGAGGCGGACGATTTACCTGAACGGAATCGATGCCGGAGTCGTGGTGGGCCGACGACGAAGAAGACGGGTCGTCGGGTTGAGGGAAGAGAAAATACTGCCCGTCCGCGTCACCCTGGGGAGAATCTTGAGAAGGCCAGACCTGCAGAAGAGGCAGAGACGGCTTAGGTTCTTGAGATTGTTCTTGGCCCCCTCCGGGGTCGCAAGGGACGCAACTTTGCTTCCTTTGACCCCACAGCCGCCGCAATTCCCGCAGCGACATTCTGAAACAACAGTCCTTAATAAGAGAGCCATTCCTTGCATTCTTCTACCGAGGATAGGGTATTGTAAAGGTCGAGAGAAAAGGGCATTCGTAAAAATGTACATATTATAGCAACACATGTAATACACAAGTTACCGTCAACATTATTTTAAATCTAGCTTGGTTATTAAAAATATTTCGACCACTTGTTTATTTTGACTTGTCGTAATTAATCATTTGTTGTGACATTGAAAAAACAAAAAACATGCTAAATTCATCTAGATATCTATCTATTTTTGCATACCTCAATTTGTGGAAAGAGAAAAATCTTTTTTGTGCATAGAGTTGGTAATGATTATACCTTTCTTGCAATGCATTTGGCATTTATAAAAACAACATTTGCTATTTTTATATTTAGCTTGCATTAACTTTAGCCAGATACTCAAAGAATGTTTTCGCATTGGGATTTTTTTTTATACCAATTTTCCAAATTTTCTCCAGATAAAGTTCAAAATTGCACAATTTATTTAACAGAATTTATTATTAAGAAAATACTCCCTCCTCGTTAGATCTATTTATGAATGATCATTCTGGGGCAATGCTTTTATGTGTCAAACCATATAGGAATCTCGTGTTTAAATGCAACCACAACGATTTTTACAGCTATTTTACTTCGCCGCCTCGATTCGAATATAGTAGACAACTCTCTTCTTAGCAAGTTCCTGTCGGGTTTTCGAAGAGGCAGCAAAAAAGGGACGTTATACTGTTTCTTCGTTGATTTCAAAACGGCCTTCGACTCAATAGAGTGCAAAGCAATTATTAAGAAATCGTGAGATGCGGTCGGGTGTGATGCAGGTTTCAGAAAAACATTTTCTTTATCGTGCCAACGTTTCGATCTTTATTGAGATCGTCTTCAGGGCTCAAAGTGTTTTTCTTCTGTGCAATTGTGCCATTCTTGCGTGTCGTGTTGAGAGTGCCAGTGAGATATTGCTGTTTTATATACGTTGGATATATCCATAAAAAATATATATAATTACAATTAATTAACGTTTTTAGTTGAGATGAAAAAAAGTTAATGGCACGAGCGGGATTCGAACCCACGATCTTCGGCTTGATACGCCGCTGCTCTACTACTTGAGCTATCGTGACCTCGATCCCCTCGGACATCATCTTCCTATCTCAACCCCACCTTATGAGTTTGCCCTCCTTTTTGCCATTTTTCAAATGTCGTGTAATCGTTTTGGATTCTCGACGACAATTGAAATGGCCACGGAGAGCTTTAGTGAAGTGTACTTCATATAAATTCTTTAAATTCACTAATTTCGTGGTCCGCTTGACCAATTACATCATTACAATTAATTAAGGTTTTTAGTTGAGATGAAAAAAGGTGGGGTTGAGATAGGAAGTTGATGTCCGAGTGGATCGAGGTCACGATAGCTCAGGTGGTAGAGCAGCTGCGTATCTAGCCGAAGGTCGTGGGTTCGAATCCCTCTCGTGCCATTAGCTTTTTTTCATCTTAACTAAAAACCTTAATTAATTGTAATTATTGTTATTGTTATTACAATAGGATATTTTATGAAACGTACAATAATTATTAAAAGTACATATGAAAATACTCAATTGGAGGGAGTAAACGCTTGGGTACGTCGTGATTTCCCGTTTCCAGTGCCTACTGGCTGGTTTTCCTCTATTAGACGAAAGGTGTTTTTCTTTCGGTTTGTAATAATATTCGTTCCTAATTTAACTTCACGTTTCACTGTTATTGCGGGATTTATTTTCTTTACGTAAAAATCTAAATTTCAGATTCCACTGGGAGAATGTTAATGAAATTATCACATCAATATTTTGTGGCATTGTACTTGCTTTTTCTAATTCAAAACCATTGTTTGTACAAATGAGCGCGAAACAACTTAATATAAACACCTTAAATTAACTGTTCGAATTATTCAATTTTATCACAGATATTTGTTTGATTTAAAGATGGATTTTATTTTATAGATTTAATTACTCTGAACTAATAATAAAACCAAAAGTAATATGCAAGTATATATATATATATATATACACGGTGTGTTTGTGTGTGTGTAATGTGTATAATGCACACTGAATACTGACACATACAACAAAAATTACAATACTGATGCCTTGGTAAAATAGTTTAGAAAATTATTTTATAAATTGAAAATTTTAATAAATATTCTTCAGCCAGTTTTAATGAGGTCTGTTTAATTTGCATTAGCACAATTTATGATAACATATGAGATTCTTATTTTGGGGTTGTACCATAAGATTTCTCCAATAATTATTGCTTAACATTCATTAATAAAAATATTGCTAAATAAGGTACAACACAAACAACTTTACATTGATTTCAAAGTGTCAAAATTGAAACATTTATTTTTGAAGCATTCATGTCTTCGCCTTTATACACATAAACATTTACCCATTGTGGAAACTTCAGTACTATTCATTACTAAATTTAAAACTTCATTATTAAATAAACTAAATTAACTTCATTACTACTACTTCTTTTGGCTTCAATTACACTACAAGAACAAATGCGATCATAAAATTAATTAAAGTAAACACTTCTATGCATTATAACAATTGATATAATGTAGGATTAAGATTCACATATCAAAACCAAATTGATATAAATTCCTTTCCCTTTTATAATCAATTTAAATTGTTTTAAAAACATGTATAATTAAAGAAGAGAAATTTTTAATAGTAAAATTACAAAAATTACATAAAAATCAATAGTCAAATAAATTGAATGTACTCTGCTATCTCTAATTTGTATAAATCTGATTTTTGTGTATTTTTGTAATGTATGAAACTATTTGTGAGCTCACAACTCCTGCTCTTAAGCACAAATTAAACATACTGAGAGCAGGTTGTTCATTTTACATTATTTTGTTGTATATTATCATTTATCATGTTCTTTGAATCATCTTAGATCTTTCAGAGGCAATGACGGAAAATCAAATTACGCCACACACTTAATACACTACAACCACGAACCAAACACAATAGAAACAAGCATGACATTAATACACAACGCACAAAAAGGACGAAAACTAAACATACTGGAGAACCTCGAGATATACAAACAAATAACACTTAAAGACGGAAAACTTATAAACGCACAAACAAACTCACAATCACACACCACCTTCACACCACTAAAAACACTCCATAACAAAAAACGAAAACGTTCAGAAGAACAAAACATCGCAACCAACACCAGGAAAAAACAAAAAACCGACAACGCACAAATAATAACTGACAATGGAAATAACCGCCACCAACGTGCACGGAGACCACGCCCCCTAACGCAACGGCCCCAGCGACAATCGACGGACGCAATACTATATAAACCCCACTCAGACTAAATGACAGACAGTTTTTCACTGAAGATGGCGTAATGCCGAAACGCGTTTGAATAACTCAAACAAAAAAACGCGTGAGTGAAGACAGACCCAGTAGTGCCCGTGTGCCGGTTCAACATGAGTTCGCCAACTCGCAGACCAAACCCCATCATCTACTATAAATTCATTCACTAATCTCTACACGTTTTACATAAATGTATTAATCATATTTAGTTGGACTTTAAGAGCCATGTAAAATCAGCGGAATTAGGTTATGAATTTTATAAGTTATCTATTCCCCCTCACGTATAATATTGATGTATAAACATATAAATAACTCCGGATTTATTTTTCGTTAATTATTCATAATTTGAATCATTATCACCCGTTCCAATGCGAGGATAATTATTTCGTTTGGCAAAAAACTTGAATTTAGGGCTGAAACGTGCTATCTCGCCCATGTCAAATTTACCTTCACGTTCCGCATTATCATATTTTCTGGTCGTTTGAGTCTAAAAAAAACAATAAATTATAATAGACCGATCAATACAATAGTAGAATTGCAAAAAATGTAAACCACGCAACAGTTCATGTCTATTGAGTGGAATCAATTTCATGATTAATGATATGGAAATTAATTGTCGAATTATTCACCATGTCGTCACCATAAATGAAAAACTTATTATTTCTGACCAAGACTTTTGGTTATCCACAATATATTTAATGTAAAGTTTATTTAAAACTCTGACAGTACGCAATTCCGTTTAAAATCTCCCACTTGCACATTTTTTCTACTAGACGGACAAACCGTGAATCATGAATATGTAAGCTAACTCTAACCCTCACCCTAACCTACCACCGGCATATTTGATCACAACAAAATTATTAATTTTGCCTTTTGTTTGTCTCTCTCAAAACAATGAAAGTCTTTTTTGTTTCACATCAGCGTTCTTTTTCCCTCTTTCCTGAGGAGGAATATTTTCCTTCCAGGTTCCTGAGGTTAATCCGCTATTTCTGAACTTCCATTTCTTTCTTATAAGCTCGTTAATTTACTTTTGGTGCAGTTCCTCATGTATTACCATTCCTTGAAATTAGAACCCTTTTGCTATTACATACACCCTTTTGTTACCTTGAATAGTGGCATTTATGTCTTTAAACTCTGATCAAACATTTTGGGTATTACCTAGCTTTAATAGTTCATTCATAGTCCTAACCATTACTTGACCTTACCTAACGTGGCCCTAAAGGAATTCTTACCTAACACTAACCCTAACCAAATCCATCAATTATTCTAACCCTAACCCTAACCTAACTTTAATATACCTTTAACATAAGCATAACCTAGCCCTAAATAACCATAACATAACTCTCATTTAATCCTAACCTTATTATTAATTTAATCCCAATCCAAATTAACCTGTCCCTACCCATGCGCATTCCATGGTAACGCTAAATCGATAACAACAATAACGGAAAAAATTGTATATTCAGCTCAAAACATATCCATGGTAAGTATTAAACAAAATCTTATTACATTTAAAGGTTTAATTTAGCAATTTAGTTTTGTACAACTAGATTTGCAGAGAATTGGCCTAAAAAGAATAACGTATAATGAATATTTATTATTTCAAAAAATTAAAACTATTGCATAATTGATTATTAATTATTCCGTAAAGACTGAAAAAATTTGAATTTACCTTGATACTGATTCTTAATATCAGTTTAAGTAGTTTGGATATTTAGTGTGATGCTGTATAATTGTTAATTCAAATCATTCATTATTTATTTGTATAACTTAAAATTTAGTTTACTACAATAGCCTTGTAACGTTTATTTTGCAAAGAAATAACGTATTTTCAATATTATTTCTTTCCCACTTAGTGTTTTATTGTTTAAAAAATCTAAACTATTTCACAATTTCGTAATAATTCTTCCATTAAGAAGATTATTGATACTTGAAACAAAATATCCCAATATTACAAAAACTTAGTGATAGAATTTAACAATTAATTTTTCTACTGCAAAGTTCTTTCCATGGAAATATCCGAATGTTGTAATTCATTTTCGCCATTAACAACATTATTGCTACGTAGTTAATAGGACTATTTCATGAACTTTGTGTTCAAAAAGACAAAAATGAACAACATTCTTTTTTATTTTCTTAAGTCTTCTAACTCATCTTATCAACGTTTTTGCTGATGGCAGCATATGAAAAACAAAGTCTCACTATTGATGGATTCGATCAAAGGTTTAATTCGAATTTTATTATACGGGCAATGTAAATGCTTGTTGGTGTTCCGAGAACGCGCGTGTTTTTGTAATAGTAAGAAAAGAATATATTGAAAAAAATCAACAAATTTTGGTTTTGTTGACATACTACAATTCATCGCCTTAATTAAACTGATAAATTAAAAGTAATAATTTATTTCCTAATTTTTAGGAAAGGCCAGGTCGATGGTCTTCAATCGATGGTAGCTTAGTTACTCGTGGTCACAACTGTCTTTTCCCAGACCCACAAAACTGACCCCATCGAGCTCCTTGTTTGCTATCCGATTTAACGTTCTGTAAGTCAGATAATGCTTGCCTAATTACTTTTTGTTTGAATTAATTATTTTTATTAAGCTTGGATACAGCGTAAGAAGTCAGATAAACGTCTTCTGGACCGAGGCTAGCTGCAGGCAAATGAAGGATCTCTTTAGTCGTCTTGCCATTCTTATCATTAAAATATCGAGTGTGAATTATGTACAATGATCTTTTTTAAAAATATTTTTGTTGTTGCTGAATAAATACATGGAATAAATTAAATTGCATGTTGACTGAACAATGATTGAATGTTCTAAAAATAATAATGACTTAAAGAAAATTAATTGAACGATTGATATTTACTCGTATGTTACTATGACCTATAAGTTTGTAACTCGTTTCGTCGTTAAGATGGTAATTCAAAAAAAGGTTGTTAATGTTTATGATGCCATAAAACGGTTATGATATGGTTTTAATGTTTGTTTTATTTAATTTTTAAGTCTTGCTCCGTTCAATAATTATTAAATAAAGGTTAAGAAATTTCATCAAATTAATAAGTTTTAATTTATTACATAATCATAGCAGTATTGTTTGGTTTATTCATAAAATAACATTTTTCTTATTCATCCCTTATTCCAATGTTATGCAGGGTGAATAAGGGTTAAGACAAAATTCGCCAGGTGCTTTTACACCTCAAGTGCAACAAAAAAGTTCGTTTGAACCATAGTCAGATTCCCAACCCTTTTGGAAATATTAACATTTTATGTTTTTTTCAAAATTATCTACAGTTTTCGTCATAAATCTATTCCTTGCTCTTTAACTATTCATTTTCGGGCAAATCCAAAAACTATTGAAAAGAGCTTTAAATTTCCTTCTTGATGGCATCCTTCTAGAACTTTCAATGTATTTTTTGATACAAAAACAAAAGCAAACTAAATCTTTCAAAAACTGCTAAATTTAAATTTAAAAAAAAAATCAACTCAATTTTTGAACTGGTTGGAAAAGTTCACGATTGAGCTTGGCAAATTTTTTAACAACTTCTTCGTTTAATAATCTGTCTATCGGAATACCTTTTCTTTAATTACATTGATTCAAAATGGACAAATTTTATAGTCAACGGGAAAAAGTGGTGCCGGTGTGAAAAAGCGGGAGTGGGGTTAATGCAGTAATCAAATTTTTATCCTTCGCAAAAATTCTTTCTTAACTTTAATTTAATAAGTGACAATAAACAAGGCGCACAATCAAAACAACAATTGGACAAAATATCTGCAGTAAAAATCGTCCAAACAAAAACAATGGAACAAGTTGAAAATCCCAACTTTACCCTAATAAAAAAGAAAAAAAATCAATGTAAAAATCGAATCAAATACATAAAAATAGACAATAAACATAATGAACAACAAAATTACACCTGCAAGCATGCAGTAGATGGAAAAGGAAGTGTTACTTGAAAAAAGCTATCAGAGAAATCGGTTTTAAAGGTGAAGTAATTAAAGGTAAGGACGTCGTTCATCTTTAGAAACAACCCCTGTCTTCAGACCATATCAATGGCTCGCCTACATGTAGGAAAGTGCCGTCAAGGGAATGGTGACCACAACAAGATGTTTCTGATGGATTGTGGAATGAACATGATTAAAACCTGATGATTACAAATAGTTTCGGATGTGATAGGGTTATCGTGGAGGCAGGAGTAGAAGCATATTCTCAAGTTTTTTTCTACGCGTAGGAATAAATCTTCAGCAGGATCAGTAGATGTCTTAGGTTTAGGGATCATGCGGTTTGAGAATAATTTCCAGAGTGTAGGAAAGGATGTAGTTCGAAAGACAGCATTAAATAATTATGTAAAGGCGATTATGGCTTTACATGGTTGATAAGATAAATCACTTCTAAAATTCATAACTGTTAAGGTTTCCGTTATTTCGGCCGCTGACTGCATTCAGATATAGAGCCGGACTTAACGTTCATGAACCAATTTTTTGATGTGGTACTATATCCTATCAATATCTGAAATGTTACAATGTTGAAAGATTTATCTGAAATTTCCCTTGATATATTGGAATATTTAATTTGATTTGCATTTTTGTTGAAAATTATAGTTTTTGTAAATTACACATGTTTTATTTATTGTGTACAACATATTTTGTTAACATTTTATTTTGCAGATGGTGATAGAATTGGTTCAATGCGATGGCTGCAATGAGGCTGTTAGTTAAAATAGTCGGTGATCTCATTTGTTTTCTGTTTTACCTTATTTTCATCAAGTTTTATGTTCGTTTCGTGCCACCTTTTAAAAGGGGATTCAATTGCGAAGATTCCTCAATAAGATACCCTTATAAGGCTGATACGGTAAGCACACAGTACCTCACAGCGTATTTTATATTACTTCCCATATTGGTATTCTCGACCTTCGAAGCGGCGATCTTCCCTTGGAAACAGACGAACGTGAAAAAAAGGAAGTTCTTCTTCATAATTTACAACATTTTAGCCGTTTTCGCTTTTGGCATTGTAACGTCGTACTGCTTGATAGTTGTTACGTCCTACACGGTAGGAAGACTTAAGCCTCATTTCATTGACGTCTGCAAGCCGAATATCGACTGCAAGCTGCCGGAAAACCAATTCAAGTACATAACGCAATACACCTGCACGTCAAACGACACGACGAAGATTGCACACGCTCGGCTATCCTTCCCTTCAGTTCATTCTTCAACGGCCATGCTGTCCACCGTCCTCATTGTGCTGTACGTGGACGCCAAGGTAGTGTGGAGGGAGTTCAACTTGTTGAAACGCTTCATCCAGGCGAACATTTTTGCGGCTGGGGTCGCCGTCAGCATCTCTCGTATCAGCGACTTCGATCATCACTGGAGCGACGTGGTCGCAGGAATGGCTTTCGGCGGTACTTATGCGTTTTTCATCGCTGTCTTCGCCACAGATTGGTTCCATAACAGACGGAAAATTGGGAAACTCACGGCTAAAGAAAGGTCCGGTATCGACGGAAAGTCCAGTTATACGTCGAGTTCTTATAGTTTTAGTAGTAGGAAAAGAGGGGTTAAGTCAGATCTATTAGTGGGGGAAAATGTAGATGCGGGATGATTATTGTGCAATTTACATTTGTTTCACCTAAACTTGAGTACGCCACATGTTGCCTTTTCTCTCAATGTTTTAGTGTCGACATTTTACTATTAAATATGTTTTATCTTATTATTTTAATTGAAATTTAATTTTAGCTAGTAAGGGTAATTTGCATTTTCTGAAAGAACATAATAGTAATTTCATCTCAAGTTGTTCCCTGAAGACTAAAATATAACTTGAGTTATTTTGTTATTTCCCATAATTACCATTCAGGATAATACATTTTCATTTGAAAAATAAATTATTTTTGACGAGTGGCGTCATTTTGTATTATTATAAATTTGATTTCAGTGTGAAGGTTTGGCTAAAATTTTTGTGTTTTTAGATAACTTCAAACCAACTGATTTGAAACGTCTTCCCAAACATTTTGGCATTCAATGGAAAATTTCTCCAGCGCAGTTTTCAGTTCTTCCATCGATGCAAAAGTGACCGGTGAAAATATATCGTTATTCATGAAACAGATATTTCTTTTTTATTATTAATACAAGCGTCTATTCCCTTTGCTTTGCCTTTATTGATAAACTATATTGTATTATAACAACAAATTATGTCCAGGCTCTCCCCTCCATGCTGGAGGCAGGAAAGCGAGAACGAAAAATTCAGTCTAGCCTAGGCATTGGAAGAAAAACAATAAGAAAAAAATCCAGCTGAAAGCCAGTCAAATCAGTTTTGTATCCACTTTGATTTTTATTAGTATAAATTATTTCTGTTGTGTGGCCCATTTTCATTTATGGCTTTTTGTTTGGTATTTTCCATTTTTGTTATCAAGGTTGATTATTTTAATTTTGCCCTTCAGGCCCATATTATTCCCATAGTATCTAATTATTCTTATCTTGTTAGTTTGTAAGCAAAGGTTCATGTTTTGTTGTTTTATATTTTTTATATAACGTTTTTGATTCATAAGGAAATACATTTTTGTTTTAAAAGAAACAAAATAGAGGTGTCCCTCTGCAATTGTATTCGTATTTTATTTCAAATCAAAATTCCTTTGATTTTGAGGCAGATCACCGGCCTCAAGGGGGTTAATCAAACCTTTAAAGACGGAATATAATCATTCTTTAAAGGACCCACCAATAGTAGAGAATTTATCATTTCATGGTGCAGAACAGTAAAAGATACTAATCGGTACATGATATTTAAAGTTCAGTTTTGAAGGCGGTACAACATTTAGTCATTTAGTTGGTCATGTTTTTTGGTTTACAGAAACAATTTTAATGTAATATCTTGTCAGTCCTTTTGATCGTTTACAACTTCAGAAACATTTTACAGAAAATTTTTGAAACATTTACACAAACACATATGCTTTCGGGATCTATGTTTTTACTAGTGGTTGTTGATACTAATTTTTTTACTGCGTGGAGAACTCGCGCACTGAAGTTTAAGAATTAATCTATATAATTTTGCTATAAATTATTTAATAAAATTGAGCTGGATTTTATACTCGGATCTAACAATAAGATGAAACGTTTGTAAAACTACAAGTCAAAAATTATACACTGAAACACACACAAAAAAAAAACAACAGAACACTTGTATTTTGTTGTTATATAAATGAAATATCAATGAAAATATATTTTATAAATCAAAAGTTAATAATGCGAATAATAAAAATTAATAACTAATATTTCTTCTGTTTTAAAGCACATTGTTTCCAAAATCATGTTATCTTATTTTTTCTTATAAAATTTGAGCCCATTTATTATGTGTACGCCCAATTTTATAATTTTTCCCATGGCTTAATTTACAAATTCATACTTAATAATTTAGTTTGTAACAAGTTTTTTTTTAACTTTTCCTAGGAGAACAAAACGTCCCGTGACCTTTAGTAAATGATGGATTCGGTAACAAACGACGAAACTTTGGCCTAACACGTCCCCTTTTCTCCCCGTTGGAAAGTTGAAATCAATTCTAGCAATCTTGACGTTAATGAAGTTTTTCTCGGGCATCGATAACTTTTTTCTTGTTGCGCGCCCGGTGGACATTTTCTCTGTTCTTGTTAGTTATTTGCAAAGAACACATTCATTAGAGAGATTTTGCATAACGCTACCGCTATTTCAAGGTCACCGTTATTTTAACGTCCTTCAACATCTTCGTTGTCGCTATTTGAAGACTTGTGCATAACGGAATTTGCTGCCAACGCTAACTTTCCTGGGAAGTTTGTGCAATAATACTTTAGGTTATAGTCGCATTTGGAACCTTGTAAACAAAGGTTATGGATTTTGTCTTGAAGGCTAGAATAGTTTGACAAATGCTGAGGACCTGATAGTCACAAGCTCTACCGTACAGCGTAAACATTAATTACCGGGTGATTGGTGGCAAGCTCAGTTTAAATAAAATTGAGGATGAAAAAAGTCAAAATCTCTTTAAAAAGCTTTTAGTTTTTATGAGCACTTTTAGCTACTAATAAAAACTAAAATATTAGAGTGCAGTTAGTTAACCATATAAAACTTTATAACCTTATTCTATATAAAATTTTAGCATTTAAATTGTATTAAGGCGGTTCAGGCAAAGGGTCTTTTTACAAAATTTTTAGGGGTCGTGATCATGAAAACTTGTACGAATGGTTAGAAATGGTTATTATTTCTACTTGGACGAATTGTAAAATGTTAATTATAAATTATATATAAAACATTTTTTTGTATAAATGTAATTGTATAAAAAAATCTTTTACCATCACCCCTTAACAAGTACGTTAATTTAAGACAAATAAAATAGGACGCTATTTCAGATAGCGTTTCGTTAAATCTGTGTTTGCGTAATTATATCATCTTATACTTTTCGCGCTAACGCTCCCAAAATCTCCCTAATTTTTCTTGCTTTTGTAACGTTAATGAACAATAAGATGCACTAACTTTTTTTTTACTTCATCCTTACTGCCATTTGAATGAATATAGGGCAGGCAAAAGTCAGTTGAAACGGAGATCCGACGGCACATACCCAAGTACTCGCTAAGGGTTATAGGGATTTTTAAATGCGTATAGTGCTTGTGTTGTGTCTAGATTGCGTTTGTGTTAATTTGATTTAATTAGACTGGACGTAATTAATTAGCGTGGTTAAGCAATACGCCCCAAGGAATAAGTAAGTTATTAGAGAAAATGGAGTCCTACCCTGCCCCAAGAAACATCGAATGCTCTATGGGATTGAATGTGACCAGATTTCTATATTTGTGTTGGGTAGTGTTGTCTGATTGTGTCTTTTATATCTATTATGTAGTTACAATCTGAGATACAATTGTGAGACTAACATTTTACGTTGTCACATAGTTTTGATATAAAGCAAGAAAGTCAATAACAAATCAAGATGCTGAAATGGCTACAGGTTGAAAAATACTCATGAAAGACCAGCAAAATAAGTAAAATCACGCAGAGGCACGCATCGATGACTTCAGCTGTTTGTCAGCCCCTAATCGTCCCTCATTGTTATTATTCTTATTACACATTCGCCTAGAGAATGACTAGAAAGAAGTGTAATCTTAATAAAAACTAATAAAAGGGGTGAACTATAGCATAACTAGCTGCTACTCGTGGGAAGTCCTAACCATCCCTAACCATATGGTCTCTGAAAATAAACAACCTCAGAAAATATTTTGTCTTACAAAAACAACTGCAGCTAAGAATAGAGAGAAGTAGCGCTGTTTAAAAGCTCCTCAGTTTCAACTCAAGCTATTAGTGTTTCAGAAGGAACGGAATAGGCTGTATGTGTCTGGACATACTGGAATTGAAGGCAACGAATGGCTCACAAAATGCCTAAAGCAGATGCAGCCTTCCAACCCTTTGAAAGAGAACTGGAAATCAGTACATCGCAAAGTATGTTAAAAGCAAAACTGAACAAATGGATTGAGAAATAAACGTGGAACTGTGAAACGCTGGCCTTGAAATCGTCACTAAAAATATTTAAAGATAGTGTACTTTATAGGACATGGATATATATGAACAATCTACATTTAATACATTTTTAGCCCTTGCTTGCGTGTATGTTCGTATGCTTTTACGTCGATTTTTATAATAAATATCTGCTGAATAAATAAAAAATAATCTAAAATGTAAGAGAAATCAAGTCGGGAAACAATTTAGTTGTTACTCAATATGACAAGGATACCTGTGATACTAATGGTATTTGTAAAACAGAAAATGCCAATCTTGTATGTGTGCTTTAGATTATAACTATAATGCGGATGATGACCATAGTAGCATAGATTGCTTCACCGATGGCTCACTCATAAAGGACAAGGGAAGCGGTGCTGGTATACATATACCCAAATTAGGGCTCAGCATCTCCTCCTCTCTTAGTAATAACACCTCAGTCTTTCAGGCGGAGGTATGGGCCATCAATGTTTGCTGCAGAACACTCATGGATAATAATACTACGGCAATAGATATTAGAATTTTTTCCGACAGTCAGGCCAGTCTTAAGTCATTACAAAAAGAGTTATCTACATCTAGGCTGGTAGAGGAAACCGTTGAACTTATCAATATGATTACTACTAGGGACGAGAATAGGGTAACCCTCATATGGATACCAGCTCATAAGGGGCACTATGGCAATGAAGAGGCGGACAGCCTGGCCAAAGAAGTATCAAATGCTGCGTTTGTCGGACCACAACCGGTATTACCCCACTCTATAAGGACAGCGAAAGAGAGTATTAGTTGCTAGGGCATGAAACAATTCCTTAAAGAATGGAATATGTCCCCCGGACACTGGCAATCGAAGGAGTTTCTGAAGGAAATCAAACCAAAAGAAGCGAAATGGTTATTCTCTAACTCTAGGAGGGGAATTAGGAGGCTGATAGGTATCCTAACGGGCCATTGCCCCTTGAGAAGACACCTCTTCATAATGGGTATTCTACCAGACCCCTTTTGCCGCTTCTGTGAAACAAAAGAAGAAACAGCTCGACACTACCTCGCAGAATGTGATAGGTATGCTAGGGAAAGATTTGAAACTTTCGAAGGAGAGGACATAACCAAAATACTCCCCAAGATAAAATGGTCCAAAATCTTGGGGTTTGTGAATAGGTCCAAGAGGTTTATGCAGAACTCGTGAGCCGACCAGGTCCCGGAGCTTTTAGGGATGAGGTACGGGCCTACCTAGGCTTTTAACCCCTCGGGTCCTGGTCACCCACCCTGCGTAATATATATGTGTGTGCTTTAGAACATTCATAACAACTACTAACAAAGCATGTATATATATATATTTATGTAAATAAATAAGACGGAGAAGGTATATACATCATACACATATACAGTACAATATACTCTCTAATGTCTCCTTCTCATTCATTCTTTCTCTCGCAATTAAGCTATAAATCCATTTTTAGACGTAAGTTTGTTGTGAAATAGTATAAAAATAAATAATCAATGTGTTTTAACGATTTGGCTGTCGTTGTAAAACAATTAGTTTGCACAGCTGAACAACAAAAGGTTTCCTCGAGAAAAAAAAGTGCGGCGTTTAAAAAACGTATAAATTTTACCTTTCAACTTTAAAGTTTTAACATAAGGCCATAAATTAGCTTTCCTTAAAAGAAAGTTTAAAAAAAAATTTAAATTTCTGATATTTTTTATTTATTTTGTTGCAAGCGAAAACATATAAATCCCATCATTTGAAATGCACTTCGTTTCAAACGTGATTCTACATAATTAACTGTCAATGCATTATGGGATGCATTAGGTTTCGACATACAAAAATTTGCAACACAAATTTAGCGAGTCATTTTTTAGGCAGTGCGACAGTAAACAATTTCATGTTATGACATGAACTAATTTGCATACGTTTACATATGCCAATTAAAATCAAACATATGATAATAAACAAGTGCCTTAATAGCTGAGAATTTTAATTGTTGACTGTGAATGTAAAGGGGTTTAAAAACGCAAATCTACTGTGTGAGAATATTTTTATTGATGCAAAGGAAAGGGACTTCTGTGCTGATAATCCAGTCAAAGGAAGATGAAACGGATCCAAAGAACAAATACTCCATGGTAAAACCGCACCACCACCACCATAAGGACGGCAATCTTATCGTCAGAGTTTTTGTGGATTTACTATGCTTCGCAGTGACAGGGATTGGGATGTTGTTGGTCGAACGTTTTGGCTCTCCGACTATATCGGGTTTTTATTGCCCCAATGCACATCTCACACATTCTGTAAAACCTGTTGCTTTGGGAGATTCTTCCGTCTTAATTGTAGGAGCTTTCGTTCCGTTTATATCGATTTTTTTAACTGAATTGGTAATTGTGCACGTGAAGAAAACGACCCATAAAAGCGGTACCTGGTTGTTCAACGTGTACCTTTATGCAACAAACTACTTTTTCTCCATGATAGTCGTACTCTTCATTACCGACGTTCTTAAATACTCGTTCGGCAGTCTCAGTCCTACTTTTTTCGCCATTTGCCAGCCAGATGTCAACTGCTCCGTCTCGGATAACCAATTTAAGTACATCGACAACTACACTTGTCTCGGCAACGACACAAAAAGCATCAAGCAGGCGAGGCTCTCGTTCCCGTCTGAACACTCATCCACGATGGGCCATGGGATCTCGTTCATGGTTGTGTACATTGAGAAAAAACTTCGTTGGCATGGAGCGTTCTTGGTTAGAAAATTACTTCAAGGAGGTTTAATTTCAATCGGGGTGTTAATGTCATCCTGGCAACTCAGTGACAATTCACATCACAGTTTGGACGTCCTCGGTGGATTCACGCTCGGGTCCGTTTTCGGTTGTTTCACTTGCCTCACCACAAAAAATAAACATCATTCCAGCTGAATCTGTATAACCTTTTCTTAAAAATACATTCTAAAAATATTTTAGATTGTCGTTATAAGGGCCACTGAATGAACATGTGATATTTTAAATAGATTTATCAGTGCCGCACAATCCACCAATGCAATCATCAGTAATGTTCGACTAATTTAAGAACAATAATAGTTTGTTAGATGTAAGATAAACTGGATGTAAAATAAAGTTTTTCTAAAAAAAGACAGTCGTTCAATTTTTATTCTTATAGGTTGGCTGGCACCGACAATGTTAATGAATATAATTACATAAGTCAATTTTTGAACATAAGTTAAAAAGTAAGACGGAATGAGATATTTGAGCCATATGTTATTTTTTAATATTCAACAAATACAGTGATAGTGTTTTTCAAGAGATGGAAATCCTCACGTCTGTTCAGATATTTACCGATTTATTTAGCGTATTAAGCGCAATGGTGTTCGCCTGTTCGTACCCACTTGTCGCGACAATTAATTTTCGGGGATTTAGCTGCGAAGATTCTTCAATTAGATATCCTACCGTGGAGGATTCACTTTCTGAATCGAATTTAGCGATATCGTTGTACCTCATACCTTTTTTGATTTTCATCAGTTGCGAAACCGCTTTGTTCCCATGGAGCAAGCCCAACGTACCGAGGTTTCTGTACCTAGTCACCTTGTACCAAATCGTGTTACCTCTTCTTCTTGGCATCTTCGCTCTGAAAGGACTCGTCGCGGTTTTGAAGACTTCTGTGGGGAGGCTGGGACCGACATTTGTTGAAGCCTGTCAACCGGATATCAATTGCACCCTACCGGAATATCATTTCAGGTATACTTTTTCAAAATTGAATTGTAAAAGTTAGACGGTAAAGGTTAGACGTTTATGTTAACAGACACTTTATACAAATGCATATAAAAAACAGCCGGTTGTTGGCCGTAACATAAAGCATATGAAACGAAATTACGTCACTTGCATATTTCAAAACATCAACTATAGTGTTTACATTACACTTTTTCTAAAAATTCCCATTTAAAATATTCCAAAATAAACTTTTGTTAAGTTTAATAAAAATAATATGCATATTGCATATCATTCATACATGTAACTACATGTATGAATGATATGCAATATGCATATTATTTTTATTAAACTTAACAAAAGTTTATTTTGGAATATTTTAAATGGGAATTTTTAGAAAAAGTGTAATGTAAACACTATAGTTGATGTTTTGAAATATGAAATAAAAAGAATGCATTTAGCTGTACATTCATAAGCTAAAATTCCACCAACCATAACGACCTAAGTCTGCTTGAGCATCTTTTGGACAAGCTGGGTGATGTATGAGATCGCTAAATATCATTCTGAAACTTAGATGGGCTAAAGATTTTTCCGTAGAAATTTGAGTTGTAAGACTGCTTTCTAATTGTAAGTTACCAACTAAATTAAAAGGTTCAAGCTCACGACACAAACCCTTTTAACAATGAAGTGGATCTCGTGGCCAAAGAAGCTGCAGTCACAGGGCAACAGCTTCATGAAATATCATCTCAGGACATTCGCTCTCATAATAGACACGTCATCAAAAAGAAGTGGCAAAAAGAGTACGAAAATTTCCAAACTCACCAAAGACAAATATTATGCAGATATGCAATCGTTCCTCCAACTAAAACCGTGGTTTAATAGCACAAACAGACCTAGGAGATTCGTAACTTCCATGTGCAGACTGCGTCTTAATCATAACAGACTACCCCATAACCTTTATAAGATAGGAGTGAAAAATAGTGAACGTTGTGAGTGTGTTGGCTCCAGCAGAGCCAACGCACCACATTCTGCTCGCATGCGCGCTTTGCTCCAAAGGTAGAGAGATGCCACTTTAATTTCGAAAAGAGTCCAACTTCCGACTAACATGGTCCAAGTTCTGAGATTAGGCGATTTGGATGTTTTAGATGCCGTATACAATATTCTGACCAGCAACGACCTGGACGTTTAAAGAAGAGAAAAAATAGCAGCTGATATTGGATGGGGGGTCGCTGGGCCGGAGGCGGTCATCCTCGGGTGTCATTTGGGCAGGGTGGCACTCGTCTGTCTCACGGGGAAGTAGGTATATGGCTAAAGAAAAAAAAAACCGAAAAAACACTAAGTAATCGAAGAAAGAAGTGGCAATACACCCTACTAAACATTTTTCATTTTGCAATGAATCACTTTAGATTTTTGTGGTTTTACTAAAACGGCAGGTACATAAAAAATATACATTTTCTAAGTGCACCACTTTTTTGTGCAGCAGTGTATATGTAAGGATGGCAACGTCCAGCTTACTTAATTGATATAGTATCATACGACACTGAGCTTTATTTAAAAAAATCAGTTTTCATTAATTTGAGCATTAAAATGTTGCCTAAAATACATAAATTCAGTGGTATACTCAAGAGAATCATGATTTGGAAAATATCTTTATACCCGGTTTTGCATAGGGCATGGACATTCAGGCAAATGCTAGTGTCAGAGAGATGTGTTCTATGTAATTTATGTGTGTCATGTTCTGACTCCATATAGGGAGCCAGTGGTGCCGATATTTGTTAAATGTAGTCTCATGCATTTATTAGGGGGTTGTACAGTGTGAGACAGGCGATGGTAGAATTGTGAAGAGCCTAACAAACCTCAGATGGTTTAGTTGAAGAGTTTGGGTGAAGAGTGATAGAAAAATATATGTCACTCCATTACAAACAATAATGAATAGTGTGTAAATATGAAAGAATGTACTTAAAAATGTAAATAACAATACACATTTTGGGTTAAAGGTTAACATTTATAAGTGCAGAAAGGTGCTGAAATGCCTAGTGGTATCACCAGTGCTCAATGTACAGCACTGGTCATTCTTAGTTCATCTGAGTTAAATTATTTTTGTTGTACCGTAGAGAAATGGTGGTAATTCTGTTAGTAATGAATTCAAGATTTTTCTGTTTCTTTTTTCTTTTACAGACTCTCACTGACTCTGCAATAAAACTGTCAAAATTTTGAGTTTGTACCTGTTTCTCCATTTTTAAATCTTACAAAATTGTACTGTCAGATTTCTTTTTATTTTATCTTGTTTTTATTCTTTTTGGGCCTTTTGGTTTGCAGGATCCTGCAAAACGTCCTACAGTCAAATACAGCGAGGCTAGGTAGTCCAAAATCTTCCTTAACGAGCGGGCTTTAAATTATTGATTGCCTGTGTACAGTTAGATGCCGGTATTTAGTATTTCTTACTTTGTTGCTGATAGGTCACATTACTTTCCCACAAAAGAAGCAATGTGACAGCTCTTTTTTTTACTTAAAGGGCTTGCAAATATTGCCTTCGTTTCAATTTTCTCGAAAATTGGAATTATGAATTGAACAACATTCCTGTGAATGCCACACAAGACTTGATTAACACACTTTGAAAGATTCTATCGTCTCTAATCAAATGCCGGTTACTTCAATAAAAGGTCTTAGGATTGAGCAGGAGCATTACCACGTTCTGCATACAGTTTACAATTTTATGATTTTTCCAAATGATTCCCCAGTCAACTATGTGTATTGAACAGTTTAGTAATGTTATATTATCGAGTAGTGCTTTTATTTAAATTGTGATATATAAAAACGGATACTTAGCTTATTGAAAATAATTTTAGTTACACAATGTAAATAAAAAAGCAAAGTTATTGCTTGTAATTTTATTTACGTTTGATTAGATATCGTAAAAAAGGGTTTTCTTATTCAAACAGGTATATCACGAATTACACTTGCGTCAGAAACGGTACGAAACTTGAGGAACTGTCCCGTCAGTCCTTTCCGTCCGGCATTTCCGCAGACGCGGCCCAGATGGTAGTCCTCGTAGCGTTGTTCATCGAGGCAAAGGTGGAGTGGTCTGGTATTAACCTAGTGAAGCGTCTTATGCAGTTGGTAGTTCTCTGTTTCGGCTTGGACGTCTGCCTCACCAGGGTTTCCGAATATAGAGAGCACTGGAGCGATGTGATGACTGGCATCCTGATGGGTGTCGTGTTTGCGTTCTTCACGGCCTTCTACCTATTGAATTGGTTCAAATCATCATCCCCACGGGAGATATCGGACGAAAGCATCGCATCAGCAGGAAGTATTGAATCTTGAACACAAATAAATATTTACCCTTCATAGAAATATATCAATATCCAAAAATTTATTTAACACTACCTTTCAGTTTAAAAGTAGTAAAATGCCAAAATATTGATTTTTGAAATAAAGCTGTGATTTAAAACGAACTTTTTAACTTTTCCAATTCCAGGCTACTCAAACCGACCAAATGCAACGATTTGATGGCATTTGATAAAGAATCAAAACATCGGTTATTTTATTTATTGACAAATATTTAACACAAGTGGTGTAATTTAAGTAATTGAAAATCTTTCAATTAATTAAGGTTTTTAGTTGAGATAAAAAAAGTCAGTGCCACAAGCGGGATTCGAACCCACGACCTTCGGCTAGATACGCCGCTGCTCTACCACTTGAGCAATCTTGACTTCGATTCACTCGGACATCAACTTCCTATATCAACCCCACCTTATGAGTTTTCCCTCCTTTTTGCCATTTTTCAAATGTCGTGTAATCGGTTTGGATTCTCGACGACAATTGAAATGGCCACGGAGAGCTTTAGTGAAGTGTACTTCATATTAATTCTTTAAATTCACTAATTTCGTGGTCCGCTTGACCAACTAAATCATTACAATTAATTAAGGTTTTTAGTTGAGACGAAAACACTTCACTAAAGCTCTCCGTGGCCATTTCAATTGTCGTCGAGAATCCAAACCGATTACACGACATTTGAAAAATGGCAAAAAGGAGGGAAAACTCATAAGGTGGGGTTGAGATAGGAAGTTGATGTCCGAGTGGATCGAGGTCACGATAGCTCAAGTGGTAGAGCAGCGGCGTATCTAGCCGAAGATCTTGGGTTCGAATCCCGCTCGTGCCATTACCTTTTTTTCATCTCAACTAAAAACCTTAATTAATTGTAATGATTTAATTGGTCAAGCGGACCACGAAATTAGTGAATTTAAATAATTTATATTTGACATCTTTTAACATTTTTTGATGGCCTCTTCAGATTGTTTTTATTAGGTGCTCTTACAACCTTTCGGTTGGATTTTATTACTAACAAGCTGCAACTAATAATATTGATAAAGGTGGAGGCAGTGTTCAACCTTTATAAAAAGATATTTCCTACTAACAGTTAATTGTTTTTAACGATCAGGTTTAAGGAATTAACAATGATGATGAGCTATAAGCTTGAATTCCGGACCATCATAAACAACTAATTATGAGTAGGAACTAACTTTTCATAAAGATAGATAAATATTTAAATGGCTGTACGAATTTAGTTATTTGTAAGCTTAAAAAACTAAATCCTAGGTTATTTTAAGACACTGAAAAATTTAGTCGAACTGTTCAACAGTAGGGTATAAATTTGTGAAACTGTTTTTAAAAAAATATTATATCCAAAAATACTAAAAAGACAAGTTGCACAAACCCTACTTTTGAACAGTTCGACTAAATTTTTCAGTCTAAGAAGCTAGAAAATGTTCCTAGATCACGATATAATTTGTTTTTAACGGTACTTTTATAAAAAAGAATTTTAACGCAATTCTGAATAAAGATTACAGAGTTAGGCTTTATTTTATTCTAAAAAGCCTTTTCAAATGTTTTGAAAAAAAAGTTGAACATTTTACGCAGGAAGACTTTTACTATTGTTTTATTTTTTATTTATTACTATTGTTATTTCTTCTCCCTCCAATGTCTAAAAATAAAATATCATGTTTTGACCGGTTCACTGGCTGAATCATCATCGTCGAGCCTGAACCGCTGTATAAACAGCTATAATATGTTCTTTTATCACTAGTTTTATTTTATAAAGCAGCGACTTAGTGAGAATAGTTCTTTCTTCAAAATTCAACCCTTAAAGCGGTTTAAGTATTGGAAAAAAGATTTCTTTTTTAAATACTCTTGTGCTGATGAGTTGTAATGTTTTAAAACATGTATTTCAGCAAATTGCATAAGTAGTTGATATGTACGCAAACATTGTGATAGTATGATAAAATTACATCAGAAGTCACCAGACGCAATTGATATTTACATACAACTTATAGATACGGCATGAATAGGTATAGAGTGTAACAATATGGAAATGTTTACCTAATTTAACAAGATGTATACAATAAATGTTTCGTGTTTCTTAAAGATAGTGCTTTTGTGGGAGCATAATGGAGCATATTAGTCTTGATGGACGCGGTGCAAAAGGGTCTTTATTTACTTCAAAACATACAGGCAAGCCATTGCTACCTCACGGTTTGACTTACATCAATAATCATATGAAGTTGCTCTGAAAAATAAAAAAGACCTCCGGGAGATCACGAATCAAATATTTTAAGATATTTTACTAAGAAAAATAGTTAAAGATGAAGTCCTTCGTTTGTTACATCGGTTTGGCAATTTCCTACGATTATATTAATTTTTATTACAATCTCCAGAGTAAATTGATGGAGGTTGTTGGTCTGCGAGACGATGCGATACCTAAAATAGGTTTGTAGGATAGACGTGCGACAATCTTAACTACGAATTAACTAGGTTTCGTGGTCCGCTTGACCAATTAATAATAATTAGTAATATAATATTTGTCTTATAATTTCCGCTTTTCGCACGTTCAAATTGAGCGCCATTAAAAAAATCAGCTGCTAATTGGAACGTCGCGATGGCGGAGGTATCAGCGAGTTCAATTTTGCAATTCATGTCGAGAGACGTGGTTGTAGAAGTCCTTCAATCTGATGATGAGCTAAAGGGCTCGAAATCCGGATCGTTGTAAAACAACTCACTGTGATAGGAACTATCTTTTTTCAAAAAGGCTTGAACACCGCACTCACTCCATCATTCATCATTTCAATTAATTAAGGTTTTTAGTTGAGATAAAAAAGTCAGTGTCACGAGTGGGATTCGAAATTGAAAAATGGCAAAAAGGAGGGAAAATTCGAAAGGTGGGGTTGAGATGGGAGGTTGGTGTCCGAGTGGAACGAAGTCACGATAGCTCAAGTGGTCGAGCAGCGGCGTATTTATCCGAAGGTCGTGGGTTCGAATCCCGCTCGTGACACTGACTTTTTTATCTCAACTAAAAACCTTAAATAATTGAAAGACCTAACCTGCGAAGTTAGATCTACCACTATATATTATAGTTTTAGCGTTTTATTCAACAATTTTGTTTTATTGCATGAACATCTCATTACACAGATCAATGCTTCTTGAGAATGTTTTAAAACAGGTTATCTTTGCAGAAACATTACACACACTTTTTTTCTGAAAGTAAAATTTAATCTCCTTAGCCGTTTATTTGATCATAAACTCTCGTTTTATATCGATATAAATTTATTATTTAATTGGCTTACCTTCCGGGGTTGTGAGTGGTCGTTACCAGTTTGGGGCCGCTTTTGACGACGTGAGCTGAATCCTTTTCGCTGTCGTATCGGACATGAGACTCTATCTTATCGATCGTTGTTTCGCCGGATATCTCGGATCTGGAACAATCGAAGAAAAGTTACAAGCTCGAATTGTACCGATGGAGGTGTTCAATAAGTTAAAACTCTCAAGTAGGACTCGCCTTGAAAGATAAAAGGGACTTGGCGACTTTTAAAATGTACCTTAACTCAATTTACCCGTCCTTCATTAAATACCACTTCTGCCCTAGTTAATAGCAAAGGCGAATCTATTTGCTTTGCACCGACTTTAAAGATTTCTACTTAAATTAGTTATATTTCTTGTCAAGTGCAAAACGTTACATTAAATAAAATATAATTTTGATTTTTCAGTAATGCGCACGATAATGAATTCTTATTTATGTTATTGATTTGAAAATATTGTATAGTCAGCGAAGTGTGTGAATGAACAAACCAAAATGTTCTCGCACCTTCTTTAATCAATCCGTAACTTAAAAATTAGAGCTGGAGGATCTCGTCCCTCCTTTAGCATGCGCTTTTATTTTAAAAAAAGAGAAAAAGTTGGTAATAACACGGAATATTAGGGTCCGATGGTGGCTGCACGCGATGACCTTATTATACTGGTACAGCCTTTCTGAACTGAAGGGGTTGTTAAATTCCAAGTACATGGGCCCGATTAATTCACGGTCATAAACTTTTTGGCCGTCTTATCAGCATCCGACAGTTTTCAAATTTTTAGCAGCACTGTGATTCTAGTACGGTTTAAGTCAAATGCAATATAATTAAACACACGCTGATATAAACATTAGACAGCACGAGTAATTCGAACTGGTTGTCTATATAAGTAACAAATATGACTTGTAATTAAATTAAATGTGGAGTTATTCAATTTTTACAGAAATAAGAACAATCATGTTATGTGTGCAAAATGACCCCAGAAAGACGCTTAAGATGATGAGAAGAGGAATGGCATATAATAGGCCAGGATATGCAAACCAAAAGATTAAACGACCAAACCACATTATTACTGATATGTCAATGAAAACATTCATAATAAATAATTATTCAGAAATCATGAGATGCGGTCTGGTGTGATGTAGGTTTCAGAAAAACATTTTCTTTATCGTGCCAACATTTCGATCTTTATTGAGATCATCTTCACGCAAGAATGGCACAATTACACAGAAGACAAATACTTTGAGTGAGTAGAAATACTTTGATTGAATATAAAAAATATATTTTGCATTGTTTAAATTCACTTTTTTCCACATCCTACATGTATTTGTTAAATGTAAACAATGTTTGTAAATCTCAGACCCTGAAGATGATCCCAATAAAGATCGAAACGTTGGCACTATAAAGAAAATGTTTTTCTGAAATCTACATCACACCAGACCGCATCTCACGATTTCTGAATAATTATCGATTAACGGTCACTAACCAGCACACATTCATAATAAAATGGTTTTTATTTAATTTAAATAGTGATTTCATAAAAGTTTCTTTATTAAATTTTATATTTTTAATGTGATGTTTTACTTACGGGCTTATGTTTTTTGAATTAAGGTTTCCTAATTTTTTTAGTTTTCGTTTCATTTTATTAAGAGCACTAAGCCAGGTGTTCCTTGGAGAAATATTCTTGGTCCAATTCTTTTTTTCAATATAAATGTCAGATATTCCTTCACATGTTTAAATTTCAACATATACCTTTGATGATGCGATGATTTTTTAGCCCCTCAATAAAAACGCAACAGTACAATATTAAATGAATTGGAGTCATGGTTCAGAAAATGGAAATGAAAAAACTTATTAAAAGCTAACAGATCAATTTTACTTGCGTATATGTCTGTTCTCCAGTCGGTATAAATGGAACCCAACTCATTATCGACTCGATTTCTCGGTAGCCCATCAACCTATACGAACAAAAGTGCTAGCAAATGACGTTCACACTTAGCAGAAAAATCAGCGCACTTGTATAGTAAGGTAATCCCTTGATCCAACCAAATCCGCTACCTTAAGTTCTTTGTACTTGGACAGCCAAACATGGAACACACACATAAAACAAAAAGACAAGGATAAACCTAAGATTAGGCTACTTGCGCTAATAACAACAAGTGAGTATAAACAATAAATTAACAATATATAAGACACACAAGAGTCGATAATGAGTTCTAGGTAGTCTTGGGTTGCTTTTCCTACAAAGAAAGGGTCAGAATGTGAGAAGTGGAACCTTGCGGTGTCGTCCGCGAAGGTTGTGATGTGGGTGTTAGGGTGTATAGGAAATTCGTAGGTCTAAACTGGCCCTAAGACATTACTCCCTTGGGCCTTTATGGTCCTGATGTCCGAAAATTAAAAGCCTCTTTTCATCCTGAACTAGCGAAGCGATAGAAAGGACTTCATGACTAGATCGTAGATGTGGGGAAAGATACTTTTTAATTTGAAAAGGAGACGGGAGAACCACTGTCAAATGCCACTGTGATATCTACACTGAGAAGCAAAAAAGTGGTAATATAATTATCACTTCGCCAATCCTCCATTTATTATCCCACAACAATATTTGGTCCGTTTTAAAGAATTAGAGGTAATAAAACACAGATCAAATATCCCACTTGACTTTGTTCATAATTAGATTTTGTAATTAAAGCTTTGAATAGACTATCTCTTTTTTGTTAGTTTTTTTACGTAAGCTTCTTTTCTAAGTTCCGATAGTTTGGTTTTTATGTTGTACATTTTCTACAAGTAACTGAAACGACTCAATCAACATAAGAATATATTTACTTAATGCAAACTTTGGGATTGTAAATAACAAACAAAGATACAAAAAAAGTTAAGATTTCATTTTTTTACACCGAGATTTTTTGTTAAGAAATTTTTAATTTTATGACTTCACACCCTAAAAGGAAATTCTGTAATTATTTTGACCATTTTCAAGTAAGTTGGGCTCAAATTTGGTCAATTCGTTGGTTTTAGCTGAAAAACCACTATCAAAAATACAACTATTAAACATTTAAAAAATCCAAACAAAAAATAATATACAAAAGAAATAAAAATTCACTAACAAAAAAACTACAACTAAAAACTGTAAAAACACCTTTCTAAATCTGGAAAAAAAACGAAAAACAACATAAATGAAATGAAAAAATTCAACAACCCTAATTAAAAGATCAAACAACCCGTAACTAATAAAACCCTACTTAAAAAGTTAAATCCTAACTACAAAATTTTTAAAAAGATAAGTAAAACTGTAAAAGGCAGTAACTAAAACAATTATAACTTTTAAAAATTAACTAGGTGGAGTTAAACAAAAATTTGGTTTTAAAAATGAAGGAAAGAGATTAGCATCGGTGAGGGAATATTTCCAACCTTAATTTCTTCTAAGTAATCAACATAATCCTTCACTCGCAGACTGGGGTTTTAAGCGAATAAAATATTTAACGAACAATACAATTAACTCGTTCACCAAGAGAGTTTTAAACAATTATTCAAGTTCAACGTTCAACACTTCCACAAACGTGTAGATAATCTCCCGAGTTGCTTCAAACCAACTTTGATTCAACACCATCCGTGTTCAGGGGAGATTTGATGCAAGTCGATAACCGTAGAAGTACAGAAATGCTTGAAAATAAAACGATTGCTGACAATCGATATTTATCGGGCACGCTACTACCTTATAGTGATTTAAACGGTTGTTCGATTTTTCAAATAGAGGAATGAAACTCACAAAGAAATCAATTAAGGCTGCGTGCGAGAAGAAAATAAATGGATTGTTTATGAATCACGAGTCGCTCAAATAATTGAAACCGTATCCGGTCCCCGCACTCCTTTAATGGAACAACGGAGTTTTAATAAAAAATGTGACCAAGAAAAGTTAACATTTATAACCAGCGTGTCGATAACATAAAAGTCTAAGTGAATTAAATAATTGAAGTTATAGAATCAGAGAATAGTTTATAGAAATGTATTAAAGCTCAGAACTTGGACAGCCAAAATATTACTTTAATAAAAGATCAAAAATCTATTATTAAAACGAATCAAGGTACATTAACTAACAGTGAATTTATAGTCAACTATTCAATATTTATGCAAGGTATTGGTTGAGATAAAAAAAGTCAGTGTCACGAGCGGGATACGAACCCACGACCTTCGGCTAATATGCCGCTACTCTACCACTTGAGCTATCGTGACACTGACTTTTTTATCTCAACTAATACCTTTCATAAATATTAAATAATTGAAAAATGTTAATTGGTCAATCGGACCACGAACTGTAATGGATTTATAGTCAACGTCACCTTTTGCCAGATGACACAGATCACAGTTCAAAATCCAACCCCGCTTTCTAGTAGTGAACCCTAGGAGAGCCTCGTCGATGGTTCTGAGATGGTTCAAAATCTGACTGTCGGTGTCATGGTGGTCCTATACCCTTTAAAGTGAGGTATAATGAACAAGGTGATTCCTTAACCATCCCTCACCAAACATACGCCCATCAACTACACACTCTCAATCTTAACACCCGTCAGCGACCAGTCCCCCCCCCCCCTATAGAGTCTTAGGCTAGACATAAAACAGCACCCAGACAAACTTATGGGTTATGCAACTCATGCCGAATGACTCATTGGCAGCCGGGGTTAATAGGATGTCCTGAACATCATGCGGGCTTCTGATGGAGTAAACCGTATAGTTGGGTGGGATTCAGATGAGTGGAGTAAGAAAAAATCCCGAAGCGGGATATCACTGCTTCGCAAACAAGAAAGAAACTGGAAATAAACCTTCAGATGGACGTTCAGTTCACAAAAGAGAAAGGGAGACAACCTCCCAGACCTCAAACAACAAAGCAGCTGCTACGTGGGAAACCAACCTCAACGCAGATGAAGGGTTTTGAACCTACAAATAGCAGAACGAAAAGTAAAAGACCCCCTCCTTGGAAAAGCAAAAAGGAAGAAAAAGGATAATAATTCTGCGGAATTGCCAAAATTGGAAAAGCCAGCGAAAAAGACGATCCCCTGAGGAATGGTCTAAGCTCTGCCAAGACCAAGTGGTACCTGAGAGCAATACAATCGGGGAAAACCAAAATAAGAAAA